AGGTGCTGGGTGGGAGGGCAACTCCAGCATCCCTGGCCTCCCCTGCTCACCCAGGTGCTGCCCACACAACCCTCAGCTGACTGAGCACTTTGTTCTGTGTATCTTTTTAAAAATAGTTGTCTTTTGATCATGGGTCAGGGCGTGAATGGCAACCAGCACCCTGTCAGCTCATGCTGTGGTGTCAGCTGGCCCGGCAGCAGAAACAAGACAGAGCCACACCAGGGCACCGTGTGTGTCTCCTCCATGTAAAGGAGTCTTTAAAGTATTGAGTTTTTGTGCCAGGAATCAGGACATTTGTGCCAGTTGTCATCTTCCTTCATTTTTTTAAATAGAAAAGTTCCTTGAACTGAGCTTGGATTTTTGGTTAACGTGTGTGTGCCAGAGAATGCTCATGTGATGAGGACTAGGGAGAAAGACACAGGAAGAGGGAGAGACAATTGATGAACTCTATTATTCTGCACACAGAGGCCCTTGGTTTTATGTCAGGAGAGATGCATGCCACCAAGGCAGAGGCTCAGAGGACTCCCTAATGCTACCGCGGAGCTGGTATTTGTGAAGAAGTCGTGCTGCACAGGACACTAGAGGGATGCCTGGCTTGGGGCTCACTTACTAACCCTCACTCGAGGCACAACGAACCTCAGTTTCCTCCTTTGTAAAATGGAGAAATACTTTCCCTGAATACCACGTGGGCAACTGTGAGGATGAAATGAGGAGAGGCGTTTGCTTTAGTCTCAGGAGTCTGGTATTCCGTGAGGCTGAGAACAGCGAAGCTTTAATAGGTGAGCCTTCCCGGGTGTTTTTGCAATCAAACCAAGATGACAACCCTGAGAAATAGGCTCAGACCCCAGACTTTTTAGCATCTTCCCTGTGACCTATTTATAAGCATTATTCTGACAAGAGATCTGTAGTGTTCTCCAGAATGCCAAAGGGGCCCATGGCACAAAAGAGCTAAGAACGCCTACCCTAGGTCACGAGGCTGTGGCCCTGATGCTTGCTTCCTACAGTTTTTGCAACAAGAATTTGAGGCACCTTAAAATGAAGACATCATGCAGCAGGCCATCGTGGGAGGATCAGGAAGCATATGTGGAGGGGGAGGCAGCGAGAGGATGGGTGGGGGCTGTGGAGGGGGCGAGGACAAGGAATCCCAGTAAGAACCCGTGTCCTTCTCTCTCGCCCCCATCAGGGCTGCCTCTGGTACACTAAATGCTTTTAGTTGCATTGAGTTCCCAGATTCCCAACAATGAAGGCACCAAACAGGCCAGATTATACAGATTTTACAGATGAAAGGAAGTATCAGTCATGGGGGGAGATGGACTTCCTGGCATTAAACTCCAAGAGAAGTGAACCGGACATGAAGACCTTCCCATTGTGAGGCCAGCCTGGTAGGGACTGTCCTTCCTGCCCCCCATGAGTCCCTCCCACAGCAGCAAGCTCTGCAGGAGGAGCTGGGGCTGAGAAGGCCCCTCTGTCACACACAGCACCGCAATTGCCTATCCGCCTGTCTCTCTCTTGTTCTCCGTGCTCCAGCTCCACATCCTCAGCCCGAGGGTCCGAATGAGAGTCAGGTCCTGACTAAGAAGCCTGCAGCCCCTGAGGTGGGGAGAAGAGGAAGCCAGGTGGGAGAGACAACTAACAGTGTGTCCTCAGCCAGCTGACCCTGCAGAGGAGGGCCGGATGCCATCCACAGCCCGGGGGGGGGGGGGGGGCCCCCCC